GTGGGGAACAAAGTGGACCTCACCGAGGAGTGGGCCTTGGAGGGCTGGGACAAGGAGGGGAGCAGCCCCGGGAAGGCCGGTGGCGGCTGTGTCCAAGCCAAGGTGCCCAAGCAGGTGCAGCTAGAGGACGTGATGGCCCTTTACAGAAAGATCCTGAAGTACAAGATGCTGGACGAGAAGGATGTGCCGACTGCTGAGCAAATGTGCTTCGAGACCAGCGCCAAGACCGGGTACAACGTGGACCTCCTGTTCGAGACGCTGTTTGACATGGTGGTGCCGGGAATCCTACAGCAGAGGTCCGAGGGCCTGGCACAGACCGTGGATATCACCAGTTATAAGCCACCCAAGCGGACCAGAGCGGGGTGCTGCGCCTGACTCGCACGGGGCCCCCTGGCTCTCGGTTTGCGCGTCGGAAAGGCTGTGGTCAGAAAGCAGCACAGAAAATCAGGGAGTTATTTTGTAGGACAGCACCCGGAGGGGAATATTGCCATGGAAATGACAGTCATGGAGAGAAGATCTGTGTGCGTGGTCAGCTCAGTCTCTGCTGGGTGTGTTGGGAGATGCAGGAACAAGGGAATCCTCCCCAGGGCCCAGTCTGCAGAGCCGGGCGCCTGGGACCTCTCCACCGCTGCCCGCGTGGGGCACCCTTGCCGGTTCCCATGTCGTCTGACTTGTGTGTTTGCTGTTCTCACACCTTTCTCTTCACTGTGATTTGCCTTTGGTCTGTGTATCTTCATGCATTATAATAGTGATTCTTGACATGTTAATTTATACAAAATCAGGAATAACTTTTTATATTGGTTGCAGCAGAGTGGGCTACATGTGTTATTAAAAAGAATTTTTGGAAAAACCTTGGTGCAGAGACTGTGCTGATTTGGACTTTATCTCTACCTCCGGGGACTCCTTTCCAGGAGGTGCTGGGGAGATGCATCTGCACTTGAGAGACTTCTCTCTTTCTGTAAAAACTACATCAAATCCTTACAAATTCCAGAATATTCGGATTGGTCCATCCCCCTCATTTGCTTGGTGACTTGAATTCCAATAATAGTAGCAAAGCTACACGCTCCGATTCTGCTACTGTCGGGGGCTCCCTGGGTTTCTGAGTCAGAAACCCTCCTTCTGGTTCCACTGCTGTTGCTGCTTTATTAGAAGATGCCACACAGAAGTCGGAGATGATAGTGTTTGTTTTCTTAGGAATTTAAGTGAAAACGGGTGGGCCAATTGGGAAAGGAGGAAAGTGGGGCAGACAGCCAGCGGAGGGCCGGTGGGTTTCGTGAGCGGCTTTCTCCTCGGGGGCGTTGAGTAGCTGTGCTGAAGGCCTGTGGTCTCTGGCTTCCGGGCAGCTCCAGGCCCGACTCCTCCATGCCTGCGAGTCAGCCCTGTCCCTAACCGCCCCCAAGTGTGGTCACAGCTCCTCAGGGAAGCCTTCCTCCTACGAAGCAGGTCTCGAGGTCTAAGGCTTCAATTTCACACCAGTGGCCCACTGAAAAGTGAACACGGATAGGGTTGACCGATGACTTCTCATGGATTTAGCTGAATTTACCTCTCTAGGGGAAGAAGCTATATTTGTTTTCCGTAAAGTATGTCTTTGCTTGTGACACGTCTAGGAAACCTGCTGCCCAGAGAGACCCTGGCGTCTTTCTCTGAGGGCGTTGGAGGGAGAGGAAGCATCACAGGACATTATTTCTGCAGTTCATGCTCAAAGGCGGGGGTGGGATGCATGAACTCTCAGGGTCCTTTCTTCCTGAATATTCTTTGATTCGATTTACCATCTGCTCTGAGCACCCCCAGCTTGTTTCCACGAACGGCCACATGTTCCAGGTCAGCGGCTGTGGAGGGCACATTCTCCATCAGCTCCATGTGAGCATTTCACCCTGTATTTGTTGCCCTAAATATAAATGTCACTGTGGGCTCCATTTAAACCAGTTCCTCCAAGACATCAGGGAAGCTAAAATGCTAGTGTCATTGGCTGTCTGGCTCCCATGTCCTGAGCTGTGTCCCAGTGGACCTGATACCATCCTGGCTCGTTGCTGGTGAGCCTGGCCTGTGGGTCCTCCTTGCAGGCACCAGGGACCCAGGTTGGTTCCTAGGAAGCCTGCACTCTGCAGGGGAGTCAGCCACTGGAGATGGTGCAGGTTTCTCTGCTGGCGTGGGTTTGAGCTGGTGACCTCGAGTGCCCTTATTTCCCTCTGCACACATGCAGGGACAGGGAGACAGATGAATGTCCCGGGTTAAACTGCCGCACATGGTCTTGGAGCCCATGTTGCAGATTTTCAGTGCGGGCTCCAACGTGTCCCATATAGATGAACAAACGTTCCTTCTCAACATCATCTCACAGCTGGAAGTTTCCCAGTGCCCTTGAGGTGTTGTGCTTGGCAGTGGTGGCAGGAAAGTTTTGGGGTTGGCTATGTTGTCACTCAGAGTCCCCTCTTTTGTTAAAAAGTGTGACTTTGTCATTTCTGGACCTGATTTTCTGGTGTATTTGTCCGTTTTGTTTTGCTGTGACAGAAATACCCTATACTGGGTAATTTATGAACGGAGGTTTATTTGGCTTACGATTCTGGGACAGCTGCATCTGGCACAGGCCTCAGGCTNTCTGCAGGGGAGTCAGCCACTGGAGATGGTGCAGGTTTCTCTGCTGGCGTGGGTTTGAGCTAGTGACCTCGAGTGCCCTTATTTCCCTCTGCACACATGCAGGGACAGGGAGACAGACGAATGTCCCGGGTTAAACTGCCGCACATGGTCTTGGAGCCCATGTTGCAGATTTTCAGTGCGGGCTCCCACATGTCCGATATAGATGAACAAACGTTCCTTCTCAACATCATCTCACAGCTGGAAGTTTCCCAGTGCCCTTGAGGTGTTGTGCTTGGCAGTGGTGGCAGGAAAGTTTAGGGGTTGGCTATGTTGTCACTCAGAGTCCCCTCTTTTGTTAAAAAGTGTGACTTTGTCATTTCTGGACTTGATTTTCTGGTGTATTTGTCCGTTTTGTGTTGCTGTGACAGAAATACCCTATACTGGGTAATTTATGAACAGAGGTTTATTTGGCTTATGATTCTGGGACAGCTGCATCTGGCACAGGCCTCAGGCTNGAGAGAGAGAGAGAGAGAGAGAGAGAGGAGGTGCCAGGGTCTTTTAAACAATCAGCTCTCGCGGAAACTAATAGAGCGAGAACTCACTCATTATTCCCCCCTCCCCCAGGGAGCACGTTCATCCATTCATGAGGGATCCACCTCCATGTCTCAATCAGTTTCCAACGCTGCCACATTGGGGATCAGATTTCCACATGAGTTTTGG